GGCACCCCGCCAAGGGGTTCCGGCGCTGACCCAGCACATCTGCGCGGACCTCCGGAAGCTCATGTCAAGGCAGTTCAGCGGCGAACAGAAACGGGTCTTACGCAGGATAGCGTCCGGGGCCTTCCGCAGTGGCTTACGCAAGCCGCCAGCGCGGCACGCTACATTGCCAGCGAAGGCGCCTGCGCACGACCTGACGAAGGGCAGCTTGCGCGTGCATGTCCGCGCAATCGAAGCAGTGAGTGTCCCTACCTCGCTCAGGCCGCTCGGCCGGCGAGCGCCACATCTAGGGGAACAGGGTCCAGCGCCGATCCGAGAAATTCGCGCGGACCTCTGAGTTCTCATGTTTGTGTCATTCTTCGATCCCCTGGCATCCTCATTCTTCGTTCATGGGCGGGGTGGGACCATCGGGTCCCTATCGGCGATCAATGGGCGATTGTGGGTCGCTGCGTCCCCCTTATGCCTATCCCCCCCTATCGTTGCCCCCGAAGGTGGCTCGGTCGGCGAGCACCGCATCCTCCTTCGGCGGCCGAGCGGGGTTCGTTCCCAGGGCCTCGTCGGAGCTGAGCCCGCTCGGCCGCCGAGCGGCTGGAGGGCAGATCCGGGCCTCCTCTCACGCTGTTGTAACACGGCGGCAGGCTTTGGGGGGCCCTCTTCGGCCTCGGACGGGCCCGCTGGGCCCCGGGACCATCAGAACACGACCTGGGATAAGATGATGGGTCCATTTTCCACAACCACTACCAGATTTAAGAGAGGGAGCAGGAGGAGGAGGAGGAGGAGGAGGAGAAGAGGAGAAGAGGAGGAGGAGCAGGACCTCCTCATCCTCCCTTCTCACCCGTCCTAAATGTGGTAGTGGTGGTGGAAAATTTGCCCATCATGAGACGGTAGCCCCAGGGAGTGGGTCCCGCACCTCTGGGGGCTCACGTTGTGAAGCCGGACCTCTGCGGGTTCACGTTGTGAAGCAATCGCGTCGTCGGAGTTGTGGGGGGGGCGGCCCTCTCAGAAGGTACGAAAGCTTCTTAGAGGGGAGGCTGCTTCTTGGAAACCTTCTCTCCAACGATCCCAGGTCCTTCTAAGAAGGCCACTGCCCTCTGAGAAGCCCCGCGCCTTCTTAGACGGCTGAATCCCTCACGCCGCCTTCTTGCGCGAGCCGCCAACTATTACTGGACTGTTGGAACCTGCGAGGCTGCAGTCGCGCCTCCTGGCAAACGGCCGGCCTGCCGCCGTCTTTGGCCATCGGAGGGCCAGCTTCGGGCCTCGGGACCGTCGAGAGTGCTGCGCTGGTCCGGCCTCCGAGGATGCACCCATTGACAGGAAGGCGGGGATACGTATAGTCGGGCCGCTGAAAGAAGGAACGCTAAATACGGAACGAAGCCCCTTATTGGCCTTGTAAGCGTCTCCGTGCCCAAGGAGGGCAAGAGGAACAACACTGGAGAAACCTAAGGAACATCGAGCCCCTTCCGAACTTAAACTGTTCCTTATTTCAGCGTCTTGACTGTAGAGGAAGACGCATGTGCATAAATCTACCTATACGATCACCCTTCGGGTGGTAAGGAGGTTCGGGGGGGGAGGAACCAACGTCTCACTCGATCGATCTCACCATCGATCTCACTATCGGTCTCGCTCGATCGATCTCACTCGATCGATCTTACAATCGATCTCACTCGATCTATTTCATTCGATAGATCCCACAATCGATCTGACTATCGATCTCACAATCGATCTGACAATCGAGCCCACTATCGATCTCACAATCGATCTCACATTCGGTCTCACGATCGATGACACTATCGATACCATAATCGATCTCACAACCAACATCACCATCATCTTCATCATCATCAACATCATCGTCATCAAGATCATCAACATCATCATCATCACCATCGGACCACCATTATACAAATCATCTCACCACCATCATCATCAACATCATCATCGGGACACCATCATCGCCAGCATCATCATCAACAACATCATCCTCATCGGGACACCATCATCATCATCAGCATCGGAACACCACCACCATCATCATCATCATCATCATCATCATCATCATCTCATCATTACCATCATGACCAACATCTTCATCATCATCATCCAGACGCCATCATCATCATCAACATCATCATCATCAGCATAATCGGGACACCATCATCATCGTCACCATCATTAGCATCGCCATCCCCATCATCATCGGGACACCATCGTCACCACCATCATCATCATCATCATCATCATCAACATCAGCATCATCACCATCGGACCACCATTATACAAATCATCATCACCTCATCATCATCCTCGTCATCATCATAATCGGGGCACCATCATCGTCATCATCATCATCAACATCATCATCATCATCATCATCATCATCATCGGGACACCATCATCATCATCACCACCATCATCATCAACAGCAGCATCATCATCAACCTCATCATCACAATCATCATCGGGACACCATCGTCATCAGCTTCAATATCGTCATCCGCATCATCACCATCATCTCATCATATCACCATCAACATCATCAGGACCATCAACATCATCATCACCATCGGGATGCCACCATCATCGCCAGCAACATCAGCATCATCATCATCATCATCATCATCATCATCGGGACACCATCATCATCACCACCATGGCCATCATCATCACCATCATCATCAGCATCATCAACATCATGATCATCATCATCATCATCATCATCATCATCATCGGGACACCATCGTCACCACCATCACCATCATCATCATCAACATCATCGACGTCATCATCATCATTATCATCATCATAATCATCATCATCATCATCATCATCAGCATCATCATCATCATCATCATCATCATCGGGACACCGAAGGGACACCGGCGGGACACCGCGCGCCACTGGCCGCCCGGCGGAGAATCATTTGGTCCGGCCGCGCCTCAGCCACAGGAGACTTTCCTCTCGCCCGCCCACACAGCTTCGCCTCGCCCGCACGGCACGCACGAATACGAAACCGAAATCCATTTCCCGGTAGGGGGGCTCTCCGTTCCACTTCGATCTCACCCCCCAACCTCCGATAAAAATATCGGAAGTCCACGCAGATTTCTTGGATCGGTGCTGGACTTGTCTCCCCTGGCGCGCGGCTAGGGGTGTCCAATGCCGCCTGATGACTTCGGGCGGACTATCGACAAGTTTTATAATGATGCACTTTTTGCTCGTTCGACTGACAGGACGGATAGACTCATACTGACTGCGTGCATCGTAGAGAGCGATTGTCTATAAAAAAGGGTCTGCGTAAATCCTGCACTGCAAAACCACCCGCAAAGACCCCCCCCCAGGTGGAGGCCGCCTAAATGAGCCTGGAGTAGACCGTGTCGAAGAGCCGCACCGCACCGCCGATGCAGGGGCGACGTCGGGATGAACAACTGCCATGCTGTGCATTACGGGGCATCGACGATGCATCGGTGATGCGGCGCGATCGTTCGACCCATCTCCTCCGACCCACTTTGGGCAGCCTGGGAAACCCTCTTGCACCGCCACCCTTGCACAGCCTGTGGAACGAGCTTCCTCTACAAGGCATGTTGAATGGGAGAGGGTGAGCAATGGGACTACGGGCACCAGCATGGGCATGCGTTGGGACCCCTGGCTGGGGGGATCCAAAATGCGTCTTCTCTCTGCCCCCGCTCCCATTGCCTGAGAGGGTACACGGAGCCTCGAGGACCAATTCCATCAGGAAGCGACTGGCCTGCGCGAGTCGGGGAGGCAGATCGATCTCGCCGACGGGTCTCTCACTCAGTTGCTCTCCTGACTGGACACTTTCAACAAACCACAGAGCGATCCCACGGATGCCGCTGAGATATCCAGAAAACAAAACCGCAGAAGTGTCTCAGATGTTAGTCGTCTAAGTGCAACGTGAAATCACAACCACATAGAACCCAAATCAAGAGCACAAGATAACCTGGCGACGCCCACTTGCCAGGCGTGAAAAGGTGTGTGAGACAATTTGCTGTCCCCAAGCGGTTCCTGGGGAGAGCAAAAGGTACCGCCGTTACTCCCCGGACCTCTCCCGGGGTGGGGGGGGGAACACGAGGAGAGGGTAGAGGTATGGGTACCTTTTCCTACTCTGAGTTCCCCTGGCCCTGGTTCCCCCTTCCCTGGGAATCCAATATCCTGTAAGGCGAGAGGGCTCGTCGACGCACCTCCAAGAGCCCTCGGAGCCTCCAAGTCCGCTGCCTCCTGGGGCCTCCAAGATGCCTTCCAAGATGGCTCACGAAGGGCTCCAACACGCAGGAGAGGCCTCAAGACCGTCAATCAGTGCTAGTGTTTCGTGTTCACTGGAGGAGCCGCCCTTCTCACAGGGGGTACCAGGCGCCTGGAAGCTGTATTGACTCCACTTAACTGCCAATCCGATGACGGCAATTCAGTGGCGCACCTGGCACATTATGTTCGCGCCGCGCACGTGGCACACTTGGCGCACGTGGAGCACGATGCGCAAATTGCATGCGTTAAACCGTCAAACACTCAAGAATCCCTTGTGTTTCGCCTTCTCGCCTTTTCGCTTCCGATGGGCTTTGAAGCCTCAAGATGGCCCCAAGATGGCCGAGGAGGCCCTAATAGGGGCTCAAGAGGGTCCAACGACGACCCAAAGTGCGCTCCAAGAGGCAACTTTGGGAACACTCAGGGGGGGCGCTAATAAAAAACCCGCTCCCTTCTTTGATCCATGTCCTTCAAGATGGGCTCCAAGGCCCACAAGAGGCCCCATGAGAGCCCCAAAAAACCCCAAAAGTGCTCGAAGGCCTCCTAACTTGTCCCATCAGGGCCCAGGTAAACTGCCAATGCAGGTTCCCATGTATCGAAAGATCCGCGAAGGCATTCATGGTTCGCTCCTAGGCCTGTTCAGGCGGATCCCGATCTTCGGTTTGACGGCTGCCCTCTCTCTCTGTTCCGCTCGCCTAGGCATCGTTGCTGGATGGGCTGGTGGGGATACTTTTGGTCGCGGCCGCAAGCGAAGGCGCAGGCGGCGTCAGAAGTCGTCCCGGACTACGAGCGAAGCCTAATTATCCAGCGAGCGCAGTCCCGGCTGGTGGGGATGCGCGAAACGCCAAGAACTTCAAACACATTGTTGAACGTTTCGCTCGTCCCGCCTGTTCGGCCACTTGCAAGCCGTGGGATGCCCGCGAGGCCCCAGACTGGCCCATCACGGCCCAAGAAGCCCACAGGAGGGTACATAGACCCCAATGACAAGGTAACTCGCAGGGCTCCCGGGAGCCCTCCCCGCAAGATGTCCCTCAAGACCCAAAGGCCCTCCGAAGCCCCCAGGAGTCCCTGAACAGGACAGGTTCCAACGAGACCGCCGCTCCGAGGCCTCCAAGAGGCCCAACAAGCCTCGCAACAGAAGAGGAGGAATATGCCAAATCAGCAACATCTACGCACAGGCAACACGACAAGAAACACTGAAGAACGCACGCGAAACTGGAAGCCGCACATAACATCTTCTCGAGTACGCCTTTTTGAGTCAAGCCGAATTGCGCCCTCGCTCCACCCTCCCTGGGGAAGGGCGGCACAGCGGTGCAGGCCGCAAGGGCGCGCTTATTCTCGCGCCCCTGCGGGCGAAACGGTGCCCTCTGGATCCCTGGAACGCCCTCGGTTTCGTCGACTTCCGCGCGTGTTCTTGCAGGTCCGAGGCCGAGCAGTGCCCCCCACGTACGCCCGCAACAAACTTGCTGCAGGGCGCTGTACTGCGGACTCAAGCAAGTGTACTCGCCATGCAGTCCCCCCCCCCCGCCGCCTTTTCAACCAGCGCTGGGCCGAAAAGGCGTGCGGGTGAGTCCTGAATTGCGCGAAATCCAATTTTCCTTCCGGGCCTCGCCACCACCCCCGCCCCCCACCGACCCCCTCGAGGCAAGTAAACCTGCCGGTCTAAAGACAAAACGACCTCCAGACGGAGCCCGCTCGACCTCGGTCGTCGACCCTGGGGAACACAGACCACGAGGAGCTGGCCTTACATGGAGAGGGCAGACGCATTACCCTCGCAATAAAAAAAAACGGCAAGCGATGCTTTTAGAAACCGCGCATCAGAGAGGAACCGAACAGGGCACGAGTACATGGTAAGAGGCTTCTTTGTGCAGACTCGTGCAGTTTACTTGCATGGAGGGGGGAGGGGGAAAGCGAAATGCCATGCTAGTAGGCTTGCCTGAGCCCAAAACAAAGCACCCTTCAAACGCCTTACATCTGTAAGTGAACACCAACTGCGTATAAGGATCGGATTGTTTTTCCTCCACGACTCTGCGGCCACCGCACCCTCCTGTAAAAACTCAGCAGGCCCGCTCCTGTGGGAACCACCGCGCGCCTCTGGACTCCAGCTCTACTAGGGAAGCGCTCAGACGGTCTGACCAGGGCTCCGTGGCGAATCTGGTCGTGGCGAAAAAGGCCGCCAGAAAGGGCCAAAAAGGCGAGAACGGCATCAGGATAGCAAAGGAAGAAAAAACGAAATTAACATAAACTTTCGGCGCGCCGCGCGGATTTCTCGTATCTGCATTGGACCCCCCTCCCTGGCGCGCGGAGCGCGCCAGGGGCGGCGCTGGAGCCGCCTCCGGGGGGCCCAACGCGGATCCCAGAAATCCGCGCGGAACGCCACAAGTTTATGTTCATGGTGTTTTTTCTTGTTCGAGGTAGAAGATCAGGGAGGTCCGCGCGCAATCCTGCGCGCTGGCGGCGCCCAAGTGTGCGTGGAGGAGGCCTGGCGCCGACCCAAGAGATCCGCGCGGACCTCCGACTGATTCTGTCTACGTCGATCTTTGGGGTCCTTCCACGTGGGCAAGGCCGGGAGACCTGGCATTTCTGGCATTTCTCCTCCTTCTCCTCTTCCTCCTTTTCCTCCTCCTCCTCCTCCTCCTCTTCCTCCTCTTCCTCCTCCTCCTCGTCCTCCTCCTCTTCCTCCTCTTCCTCCTCCTCCTCCCTCCTCCCTCCTCCTCCTCCTCCTCCTCCTCCTCCTCCTCCTCCTCCTCCTCTTGCTCCTCCTCATCTTGCTCCTGGCATTTCTGGCATTTCTCGCGCCGGGCAGCGTCTCACAGACGCCCGGAGCGCGGAGCGCCCCGCAGCAGCCCACAAGGGCCGTGCGGGCAGTCCAACGTCGGCCCCGGGCACCCGGCCTGGAGGAGGAGAGGGGGGGATCCAGGGACCACACTCATTACCTCGGAGGGGAGGGAGGAGAGGCCGGGTTTCAAGGAGGGGCCCGATTGGGCCCCAGGTCGGGCGCCGCGCGCGCCCGCGCCCGAGAGCGCCGGCCCGCGGGAGCCCCGCGGCCATCGGCCAGGCCGTCGGCCTCTTCGTGGGCCGCCTCGGCTGGTGGCCGTCGTCCTTCCTCGCAGCCAGGCTGGCCGCTCGGCCGCGGCTGGACTCCCTTCGGCGCCTCGCGCTGGGCCCACGCCGCCGCTGGGGCAGGCTGCCTCCTTCTTTTCTGCTTCTCCAGCCGCGGTCTCCTGCCGCTCTTGGCCTGTCAGGCCGTATGTCACACGGGGGCAACGGCGGAGCACCCTTCGGCGCGGCGCGCTGTGCTCTCTCCGCTGGAGGGCAGGCTGCCCTCGTGTTCCTTCTGGCTGTCTTCCATATTCTGCGGCTTGCCGCCGCCCTATCTTCTTCATCTGCACGTTCTTCTTGGCAGGCCAGGCGGGTGTGGTCACCAACCTTTCGCGTCTGGCCTTCGGCGGCCAGGCACCCCAGGACAACGTTGCGGCTGGAGGCATCGACCATCCCTCCGTCGAAGGCACCACTGCCGTGCCCGCTCAGCTGAGGGCTGTGCCTCCGTAAGCATGTGCTGACCGCCCGTCGGCTGGCTCAGCTGACCGTGCCACCTCGCCTGGCATGCCTGATGCCTGGGCTGACCACGTCGGTGGCTTTGCAGTGGTTGTGCGTCGTCGGGTCGGTCAGTGGTTGGATGCTCCCGTGCGGCTGTGGCGTCGCGCTACCTTTTTTCGCACGCTGCCGATCGTGTCGTTGACCTCGCATCTGCAAGTCATTGGCCCAGGTTGGTTCTTTCGGTTCGGTTGGTCGGGTGGGTTCGGTGTATTGGTCGGGTCTTGTCGGCTGTGGCTGTGGGTGGTCGCACCTGGTGTGGCCTCCATGCCCCGACTTCGGGTGGGAGTAGTGGCGGTCCCACCTCGTCCCGAATGGCTGGGGAACACTGTGCCCTCGGTGTGGGCGAGCCCCAGGCCTGGTGCTTGGTGGTGGTCGTGGTGGGCTTGGTCGCATCTGCCCTGTGCTCCGCCTCGTCGGCGGTCGGGTGAGCTCCACCTCCGCCGTGGGGATGGTGGGGGTGCCGAACTAGGGCAGACCGCGGGGGCGCGGGTAGTGGCCGTCCTACCCCCCCCTGCCCCTCACCATCCCCCCTGGCAGGCGCGGGCAGTTCTCGTCCTGCCCCCCCGCCCTTCGATGTCTCGAAGTTTGATCCTTGCCGCGCCAGGGCAACTGTGACTGGGTCTTGTGGTTGTTGGGTGGTGGTGTCGTCTGGGTAGTGCTGGTGCTGCTCGTGCTGGTCGTTGCTGCCAGTCGTGAGTGGACGCTGCTGGAGGTCGTGCAGGTAGTGCTGGTCGCTGTGGGTGCTCTCATGATGTGGGTCGTGCCGTTTGAACGCCTGGAGACGGTCGACGTCGTACTTCCTGCTGCCCGCACTCTGCAATGTATGTGGTGGGTCCTCGTGCGTCTCCTCGTGAGTCCTCGAGTATCCAGCTCCACGTGGCGACTCTTGCCTGAGGTGTTCCCACGCTTTCGGGGCTCCCTTCGGACTTTGCGTCCTAACGCCTCCGGCTCCACGTGGCGACTCGTGCCTGAAGTGCTCCCACGCCTTCGGGGCGTCCTCAGGAGGACTTTGCGTCCTGACGCCGAGGGTAGCTGGTTGGTGCAAATCACTGGGCGTCGCGGTGGGCGTCAGGGGTTGGGACTGGTGTGAGGACGTCAAGCAGTGGGTGGCTTGTGGGGCGGCGAGAAGGGCACAGGTAGGCTACGAATTCACGTTTTCCGCTCCAGCCCACACGGCCTGACTGAACAAGGGCTCGTGTGGATAGGGGCAAGGAGCACGTCGTCAAGATCGCAGCGGTAGGGATATAGTTTGGGAGGGGGGTGTAGGCGGTGATTGGTATAAGGTGGGGTCGGATGGTTGGGTGACGTAGAGGTGGTGGTTGAGCTGTTGCTGGTCGTGCTGGTCGTGGTGGTAATGCTGAGGTTGGTCGTGCGGGCGGTGCTGTCGGTGCAGGCCGTGCTGGGCTTGATGGTCGTAGGCTTGCTAGCGCCGTCGGGCGCCCCAGTCCCTGTGGCAGTCGTGGCCGAGCGTCCCGGGCTCTGCGAAACTAGTGGTCCAGTTGTGCGTAGAAGCTGTGGTAGGCCGAGAGACCTCCTCCTCCTCCTCCTCCTCCTCCTCCTCCTCGCTCGCGTCGTCGTCCACTGTGATCGCACGGTTCTGGCCGAGGGTCCGCTTTCGCCCCCCCTCCCCGGCGCCCGGAGCGCGCCAGGGGCGGCGCCGATGGCCCCGCCAGGGGGGCTCCAGCGCCGACCCAGGAGCAGGGGGGGGGGGAAGAGAGGAGGAGAAGGCCTTCTCAGAAGGCGGCGGAGCTTCTCAGAAGCCCTCGCGCCTTCTGAGAAGCTTTCCTTGTCTCTGGGGGAGGCTGGGACAACTTGTCAGAAGGCTGGGGGACGTTCGAACCTTCTGAGAAGGCCTTCCCCTTCTCACTTCCCCCCCTCGCTCGCCGCCGAATAGAGCATTTCCGCGGTGGCCTACGCGGGTCGACAGCGCGGCACGATACACTGGAAACCAGGGCGTTCACGCGCGATCTTACGCAGGCAGCTTGCGCGCGAATGTCGGCGATCTCGAACCCGTTTGCTGCGTCGCTCGATGCGTGCTCCCTCCCAAGACATGCGACACCCCGCTTTTTTCAATACGCGGTCCCCGGGAGTCCCGACCCGTTCCCCGAGGCCGTCTTTCACCCCAAGTCGTTTTTGGACGGTCCTGGAACCCGGTGAGGACCCCCCAGAGGCCGAAAACGACGAAAAGCATCCCGCCCTGATCTTTTTCACGGCGCGAGCATGTCTGGGTCGCCTTCCACCTGTGCTGACGCGGCGGTGCTGGGCGACGCCATCTTCGAGAGCGTGCTGCATACGCTGCAGCAGTGAAGGGGCCCAGGGACGCACACAAATAAATAGACACAACCCGAGGATTTCCCACACTTTTCCCACTTCCCCTCCACGTTCCATATTTTCTAACATTTCGCTGGGAATCGACGTCCATGTGTGTCTCTGTGTGCGTGTGTTCCTTTTCCTCGTGAAGCAGGTGGACCCTTTGCCGCCGGAGCAGCGGCTGCAGGCGCCCCCCCCCCTGGCACACGCGGCCGGCCCTTCGCTGCCGCTGAAGGGCCCTCGGCGGCCCTCGGCGGCCCCTGAGCGTCCCTCTGCCATCGCTCGGACGTCACTTCCCTGTGCATGCTTCGGCTTCGTGCGTTCTGTCGTCGCTGTTTTCTTGCTGTTTTTGTTTTTGTTGTTTCTCCTTGTTTTTTAGGGGAACGACAACTGACATAAACATAACAACTCGGAGGTCCGCGCGGATTTCTTGGATCTGCGCTGGACCCCCCTCCCTGGCGCGCGGAGCGCGCCAGGGGCGGCGCCGGAGGCGCCGCCAGGGGGGTCCAGCGCGGATCCGAGAAGTCCGCGCGGACCTCCGAGTTTTAATGTTTATGTCATTCTTCGGTCCCCCAGCTTTGCTCCAGGACGACCCGATATGATCCTCGATGGTCCTTGCCGAGACCCCTTCGCGGCAGGGCCTCCTGCCGTCGGCCCTGCGCCGCCCCCCACCCGCAGGCGGAGGAGCAGGAGGAGGAGGAGGAGGAGGAGGAGGAGGAGGAGGAGCAGGAGCAGGAGGAGGAGAACGAGGAGGAGGAGGAGGGAGGAAGGAGGAGGAGGAGGAGGAGGAGGAGGAGGAGGGAGCAGGAGGAGGAGAGGAGGGAGGAGGAGGAGGGAGGAAGAGGAGGAGGGAGGAGGAGGAGGAGGAGGAGGGAGCAGGAGGAGGAGGAGGAGGGAGGAGGAGGAGGAGGAGGGAGGAGGAGGAGGAGGAGGAGGAGGAGGAGGAGGGTGGAGGGAGGAGGGAGAGGAGGAGGAGGAGGAGGAGGAGGAGGAGGAGGAGGAGGAGGAGGAGGAGAAGGAGGGTAGTGTGGGGGGGGGGGGGGGGGCGGCCCCCCACAGGCCGCAGGGCAGGGCAGCGTGCCCGCCCCCCCTCCCCAGGCCTGCTCCTGCGCGCCCGCCGCGTCGAACGCCCTGGCGGCCTGCGGGCTGGGAGGTGCTGGGCCGCGCGGGTGCTGAGAAGGATCGCTCCCCTCGCCCTCGACTGGAGGCCTCTCGCATTGGGTCCGCGCGCATGCGATGCATCGGTGCCGTCGGTGTGGAGGAGCTCGTGCGCCACATCGAGCGGCCTCGTCGATGCAACGGCGATGCGGCGCGATCCTCTGCCACGCACGCTCCAGCTCCATCTGATGAGGCCTGGGTTGTCCCTTAGCATAGAAATCATCTGCCCTTACCTCTCATTCAAACGTGTCTCATTCCAAGGTGCGGTTGCGTCGTTACGCGTATGCTGGTTCGTAATGCAAAAGCCCGTGCGGGTTCCGCGCGCGCGTGTGCCTCGCCTTGCGTTATATGTGCGCGTGTGGCCTGCATTGAGCTTTTGTCAGAGAAAACGCCCGGGGTCGGTCCCCGCTGGCGTCCAGGACGCGTACGGACTAAACCGAAGCCAGGACGAGGATAAAATAGGGTGAGGATAACTGGAGAATCTCTGAGATCCGGCGGCTCTGAAGGATGTCTCGGGCGCTACGGGAGCGTTCCAGAACGCTCTCAGAGCGTTCCGAAGCGCTCTGGAACGGATTTATCCTCGTCCTGGCCCAGTCCCATCTTGGGCCCGTTGTTGTTCCCCAGAGCCATCAAACATCGGTTTGGGGCGAAACACGTGCCCAAGTGAAGCGCTGTCGGGATCTCCGGGACCGCGGATTGAAAGCAGACATCGGCGGATGTCTGGGGGCGCCGACGACTGGTCTGCTCTGGGACCCTTCTGTCGCTGCGAAGGCGGCACCGTCTCGAGCAGGCAGGAGACAGAATACAACACGATGCGTTGAGGAAAGGGGAGCAGGTTGAGCGGAAGGCAGCAGGCACGCACGATGACAAGGGCGGGGACGATTGGGCGTCGCTGAATGGAGGGGCGAAACGTGCAGGGTGGGAGACAGGTGCACTTCTCGGGCCCCACAGGCCCCCTCTTGGTCCCCTGGGGTCCCCTTGGAGGGCCCTGGAAAGAGCTCCTTTTTTCTGCAACCCTCGCTGCCCCCCTCCCTTTTATCCCCCCCCACTACGCGATGCCCAGCACGGGAGTGCGCAGGCATTTTCATTATGGGGGGAGGGATTCTGACTACTCTTATGTCGGGCCTGTCCCCCTACAGGGGGACCGTGGGCGAAAAATTTAAAATACTCAAAAATATTTACAAATATTCAAAAATCGTTATAAAAAAACACCCCCTGACCATTTTGCCTACTATTTTTGAATATCCCTCCTGTAGAGGGACAGGCCCAACTCAAGGCTACTTGGGGGCCTCGGCCGATCCAGCCGTTGCGCCGAGGGCGCTCCCTGGCCACCTTGCCGAGGCAAGGCCCTGGCCACATGACAGATCGAACAACCTCGAGCCGCAACAAGGACGACGCCGACGCCGCCGCCGACGGCGACGGCGACGCCGACGACGGCAGCGACGACGACTACGACGACGACTACGACGACGCCGACGACGACGCCGACGACGCTGCCGCCGAGGATGCCGCCGACGACGACGACGACGCGTATATCGACGACGACGACAACGACGTCGACCCTGCCCCGATGCCCATGGACCAGAGAGACATGCGTCAACGCATCATGGCTCGAGGCATGGGCGCGGACGGGGGGTGACAGGGGACGGGGGACGTAGTGAACGAAGTCGACGGGGCCACGCAACCTGGCAGATGTCGCCGAGCTGGCCAAGATATCCACACCTCCCAAGTCCTCACCCTCCTAATCCTCGCCTCCCTCGAACCCCTCGGCGCTCGATGGCTCTCGAGTCATGCCTCGGGCCTCCGGCGGCCGCTTGGGACGACCCGGGCACCCCAGGAAAGCCGCCGACAAGGCGCAGCTGCTAGAGAGCACCCCGAAGCGAGAAGACCTCCGAGAATCGGCGAAAACCCCCTCCGTTCGACGAGGAACATGTCCTCGCCCCCCCTCCCCGCCGCCCCCTAAAGTGAAGGGGCCCTGGGACACACAAATAAACACACACAAATATAACAAGATTCCGCACATATTCCCATATGTTCTGGGTTTCTGTCTTCCCCCCCACGCCCCATACTTTCCCATGTTTTCCTGGGAGTCGACGATGGCTTGTGTCTGTGTGTTTTCCCCCTCCTCACGAAGAGGCGGCCCGGCGCCTCGGGGTTGCCCGCTGTCCGCGGCATGGGCTCGCGGCCGCCGGTCTCGTGGCGCCTGCTGCTCCTGCTCCAGGTGCCGTGGCGGGTGCCGCGGCGGGTGCCGTGGCGGGAGCCGCTCCTGCGGCGGGGGGTCATGCTGCTCCCAGCGTGCTCAAGGGCCAAATCCCAAAAATCATGTCGAGCGCCCGGAGAAGTGTCGACAGAGTGTCGAAAGAGTGTCGGGCGAGTGTCTCCCAAGGTCCGACACGTGAAGACCCGTGAGTTTTTGGATCTGTTTCTGGTGCTCGGAATTCTTTCTGGTGGTCAAGGCTAAAGTCGGTTGGAACATCATAAGCGGAGGGAGGAGGCGGGAGCGGACTCAGCATAGGTCGATGCGACGGTTGTGACTGATCGCTCGGGGCCGTTGCCCCCTGTAGGTCAACTCGGCGAGATCAGGCCTGCCACCGCTCACGATTAATCGAACTTTTCTCAATATTGAGACTGACGCCGTTCGCGGCCCACGAATCTATTCGCAAACGTCACCCGCGGTACGCTTCGGGCTGCGGCGGAGGGAGGGACGAGGGAGGGGGGTCAGACGCCCCCCCAGGGGATTTAGTCAGAGGGGCCCAGAAGCCCCCCACCCCCTCAGAAAATCACTCGAGCGGGTACAGGACCCCCCCCCTCACCTTGGGAACATCACTCGACGGCCCCCCCCCCAGGCAACGATAACGACGACGAAGACGACGCCCGCGCCGCCAGCGCCGCCGGCTAACGACGCAGACGACGACGACGACGACGACGACGACGACGACGACGACGACGACGACGACGACGACGACGGACGACGACCTTCACCACCACCACCACAACTACCACCACCACCACAACCACGACCACGACGACGACGACGACAGCGACGACGTCGACGACGACGACGACGACGGACGACGACCACGACGAAGACGACGACGCCTACAACGACGACAACGTCATCAGCGGCGGCGGCGGCGCACCTGTCGACGGCGCCCGCACCAGGTGCCTGTTCCGATAGAAAGCTACCAAGGCTCGATCCAGATCTAATTAATAGCGCGGTAGCTCGCTCCACCTCCAGCGCAACCCTGCATGGGGCTGGATCCAACTCTGGTAAAACTGTTATATGGCTCGATCCAGTGTTTTTTCCGAATCCTGCCAGGGCTCGGTCCAACTTTGATAGATGCTTACTACGGCTCGATGCAGCTCTCATAGAGTCCTGCTATTAGGGCTGGTTCCAGCTCGAAAAAAATCCGTCAGAATTCGACCAAACTCACATGTAATACGACAGCCGCACCATCTAGTTCTGAACAATAGAAATCCGACCAGAGCTGGATCCAGCTCCGCTGGATCCAGCCCTAATGGGGTCCTTGTAAGGCGTGTTCCAGTTTCAACGAAATCCAATCCAGGCTGGATCCAGCTCTAGTTGGGTCCTACTAGGGCTCGTTCCAGCTTCAATGCAATCAAATCCGGTTGGATCCACTCCTACTGGGGTCCTACTAGTGCGCGTTCCACCTTCAATGCAATCCAATGTGGCATGGTTCAGCTCTAATGGGGTCCAACTATGGCTCGATCCAGCTCTAAAAGCATTAAGCAATGCTTGAGTCCAGCCCTAAACTAAAATCGTTCGGGGCCGGTCCAGATCGAACGGTCATTTACTATCCCCTGGTGCGCGGCTGAAAAGGGATACCGCGATGCGGATTAGATTCTCATTTCTGGAAAAACTATTGCTGATCCCCCCTCACGGGTGCATGCTGTTTTTTCTCAATCAAAGTGTGCCCCTCACCGCTCGCACCCTGTTTTTGGACAGGGAAATTCTTCCTGATCAAACTCTGCGCCTGGGCTCACGGATTACAAGAACAACAACAACAACCATTTTAAGGCTGTACGCTCTTACTTGCCCGCGAGTCTTTCAACACGTATACCCTACACCCTCGATGCCCGCCCTCTTTGTCTTCGATCACACCCCTTTCGGGGGGATTATTTCTTTTTGCTGGGGCCGGCGGGCTTAGACGTACGGGCAAACCGGAACGGGCGGACAATCCTTCGGGGGCGTACATCTCTCTGCCCGCCATTGGAATTGGCGCGGGCCCTGCAAGAGGAGGAGGGGAAGAACGAGGGAGAGTGGGAGGAAGGGGAGGGGGAAGGACGAAGGAAGAGGGAAGATACCACGTTGTGAAGGCGTCCTTGGCGCGCGCGTGGTTCCTGAGCGCCGAAACGCAATTCCAGAATAATTTGTGAGGACGTCGCACGCGAGAGCGCAGTCCTGAGTACATTGTGAGGAAATCTCAGGCGGAAGCGGGGGCCCTGACTAAGTTGCGAGGAAGTCTCAAGCGGGAGCGCCGTTCCTGAGCAAATTGCACGGAAGTCTCAGGCGGGAGCGGGGGTCCTCACTAAATTGCGAGGAAGTCTCAGGCGGGAGCGCCGTTCCTGAGTCAATTGCGCGGAAATGTCAGGCAGGAGCGGGGGTCCTGAGTAAAATTCGAAGAAGTCTCAGGCGGGAGCGCCGTTCCCACGTAAATTGCACGGAAGTCTCAGGCGGGAGCGGGGGTCTTGATTACATTGCGAGGAAGTCTCAGACGGGAACGCCTTTCCTGAGTAAATTGCGCGGAAGTCTCAGGCGGGAGCGGGGGTCCTGAGTAAAAATCGAGGAAGTCTCAGGCGGGAGCCGTTGTTGTTGTAGCCCGGGGGGCAGGGGCACAGTTTGAGCAGGAAGACTTTCCTTGAGAAAAACAAGGTGCGAGCCCCGGGGGTGGCACTTCAATCGAAAAAATCAATGTGCACCGGTGGGGGGGATCAACAATAATTATTCTTCAAGAATGAGAATTCAACAACGACAACAACAACAACAACAACAACAACAACAACAACATCAGCTCCCGCCTTAGACTTTCCAAATTTACTCAGGACCCCCGTTCCCGCCTGAGAATTCCTCAATTTACTCAGGATCGTTGCTCCCGCCTGAGTTCCTCGCAATTTAGTCAGGACCCCCGCTCCCATCTGAGAGCTCCTCACAATTTACTCAGGGAAGGCGCTCCCGCTTGAGACTTTTCGCAATTAAATCAAGACTTCCTCACAATTTAATCAAGACCCCCACTCCCGCCAAATAACCCCTCACATTGTATTATCTTGCGCAACTGTGCTCAAGAGCTCGGACATTTTTATTTTCGTCCCCCTCGGCCCCTCCCCTGAGCCTGAGCCCCAACTCCCCTGGGCCACCCTCCCTTCGGAGGCTTGTTCCGTCAAGCCTTCCCAGGGCAGCCCCCCTGGGCCGCGGACATCCTTATTTTTGTCGTGGTTCGTGGCTCGTGGTGGCCGCGCCGCGAGAGAGGCGGTCGCCGTCGCGCCCTCGCCGCGCGGCCTCGCGGTCGCCGTCGCCGTCGGGGCGTCGCCGCCGCCGCCTCCCGCCGCCGCCGCCGCCATCGTCCGCGTCGTCGTCGTCGTCCATACTTGGAAACAATCGCCAGCCCTGGCGGCGTTTTCGGGTCGTGGCTGGCTCCCTCCTGCACCCCACCCGCCAGAAACCCGCCCCGACCAACGTGGAATAATCGAAACCCCATCGACAACCTCCGAAGGACTCGCTCCCGCTCGCCGCCGTCTTCTATTTCGTCCTCTTCCTCTTTCTGCCTCATTCTCACGGGGTCGGCGGAATGGCGTGAGCCTCTTGACTAAACCAGGACGCTAACGCACCCGAGGAACCTGCAGCCGCGGGACAGAACCAGATGTGGAAGAAAAAACGGCATACACACATAATGTTGGCGTTCCGCGCGGACTCCTTGGATCTGCGCTGGGCCCCCCCCCCTTGGCGCGTGGAGCGCGCCAAGGGCGGCGCCACAGTCGCCGCTGGGGGGCCCCATCGCGGATCCAAGAAATCCGCGCGGGGCGCCGAATGTTTTATGATTATGCAGATATTATATTTTGTTGAAGGACGAAACCATTTATCCAACGTTCGTGTTTTCCAGCTGGATCTTGCCAGACCCTGGTTCCGAGGCTATGGTTGGTCCACATCCACCGCTGGGGAAAACGATCCTCCTGGAGCTCGGGAGGCGGCGGATCTGGACGCACACGGGCCTCCTGGGGCGCACATATATGCTATCTTGACCGTTCGGTCGGCGCTAATCCCCCTCCCTGCCTCGCGGGCTCGGGACCAGAAACAAGGAGACACAAACGGCGACAAAGTTGGGCGTGAATTCGAGGGGGAACGACAGCTGGGGGGGGAAACGGTGCACCTTTCGTGCCCTAGGGGCCCCTTTTGGACCCCCCTTGGGGGCCCCAGCTCCTTTTTCGCGCAACCTTCGGCGCTCCCCCCCATTATGATTAGGCGTAGCAGGACCAGTAACTCTTGGTGGGAAGCGACTGGATCTAGGAGGGCCATGGACGTCAGGGGAATTGTCAGCTTGTGATTAACAAATCCGCGGGGGGGCGTGTTGAAACAAAACAATCCCTGCCCGGGCGAATCACGGGCTGGCGCCCGCCAAATTGAGAATCAACGGCGGCGGCGCCGGTGATTAGCGCCGACGCCCAGCCGCCAGCGGGAAGGCGACAAACAGCACAGACTGGGGGAGGAGAGAGGGCCAGGAAGCAAACGTGGGGGAAGCAGGGACCGTGAGCCAAAGCGACACCAGTTTGAAATGAAAAAGAATTGCTGTCGGCGCTCGCCCCCGCACTTTCCGTGCTCTTCTGTCGAACCGATGCGCATCCTTTGCCCTGGCCGCACCCGGGGGGGCGCCAGCTGCCTCGCGGGCCCGCCAGCAAGGCGGGCTGGACGAAAGGGGGGCGTGGCCAAGAGGGGATTTGCCCAGCAGCTCGCATTGCTGATTCTCCGATCGTTCCCTGGCGCCGAAAGCGGCCATGCATCGAGGACTGGCCCCTCGGCGGGGTGACCGAAACCAACTGCTCGCAGCAAGTTTCGCACCCCCCCCTTCCTTCCCCAGCCTTTTCGTCCGACCCGAGCAAGGCGGGCAGTCCTCCTCCCCCCTTCTGCCGTGTTCTCTGTAGTCGTCGACGGCGACGACGACCACAACGACGACGACGAAGACGGCGACGAGGACGAAAACGAGGACGAGAACGATGACGAAGAGGATGAGGACGCGGACGAAGCGACGGACGGCGGACGGCGACGGCGGCGACGACGACGACGCACTGCGGAAAACGCCCTACGGGGGGGACGCTGCGCAGGCCAGCTGTAGCCGACGACCACGACGACGACGAAGAGGACTCGACGACGGAGACGGCAACGACGACGAAGACGACTATAGGGGGCAAACAGACCGACCTCGCTTTTGACCACCCTCGTTTCCAAGAGATACCAAGCGATGCCAAACTACGGCCTGTACTGGTCAGGCCGCTTGACGAGGAGGCGCGTGGTGTGACTTGGTTTTGCCTTGATGCGCAAGCGGGGTAGGTAATTCACGCTCTGAGACTACGACCGACGACGACGACGGACGACAACGACGACGACGAAGACGACAGGGACGACGAAGAAGTCGACGACGACAATGACGACGACGCCTGAGAGGGTGAAATACATTTTCCTCGGATGAGCGCGGCCCTTATACTAACTTCTATACGGAAGGCAATCGTTTTGAGGCTCTCATGCAGTGGGGGGGCACGATCCTCTCGGCGGCGCCGGCGACGCCCCCCTGGAGCGGGTGATTCAAAACATGTTTCGCGCCCCGCAGGGTCTATTCATCAGCCCCAGGAACGGGGGGGGTCATTTGTTTATCACAAACTGACATTCGGAGTCTTTTCTGTAGATATATACGCGAGGTCCAACGGAGCTGGGGAAAAAACAACGCCTGAACTCGCGACAAAACGGCAAAACGGAACTGGCAACAAAACAGCCCTGTCGCTTCCAAGGCCACCTGCGTGTCTGGGGCCCCCCGACGACCGCTTGCCGGGCAGCGTCGACTCGGGCGTGGCGTAATGAAGCCTCGACCATTGCGTGGTGTGGGGGCGAGAAATGTGGGGGGTAAAGAAGGATGCACCTGCTGTGCACCTTACGGGACCCTAGAGGGGCCCCCTGGGGCCCAACAGGGGCGCTTTTCTTCGCCCCCTCTTGGCACCGATGGCACTTTGGTACCCTTGGGGAGGCCCGGTGTCGCTCTTGCCCGGGCCTCTCACAGGGTGCGTTCAGAACTCGTGGGGGGCTGAGGTGCGGTTCGCATGTGGCCCCCTATTGGTGCCGTTTCCTCCCCTTATGACCGCCCCCCCCACTGAGCAACGCCCGAGGGCCCCCCAGGCTCGCCATCGCTCGGACGTCCATTTCCTGTTTTCTGTTCGGTTTCGTGCGTGGTTTTCTCGCCAAAGGATGCTCCTCGATGGTCCTCGCCAAAGGAAGAATTCACACGTCCGAGCGATGCCAAGCAGGCGTGCGGCCGCGCCGGGCCGTCCTCTGAAAGCGCAGCTGCCCCTCCTTCGTGCCCTGGCGCATGCGGGCCCGCCGCGAGAGGGCGTCCGACCGGTCGGCGTCCTGGCCACGCGGGGGTGGCCGCGGTGCGTCGTCATTTGGGTCATTGGCGTCGTCGTCGTCGTCGTCGTCGTCGTCGTCGAGATCGTCGACTATCGCGGGCTTGAAGATCTTCTGGGCGTCTGGGGGGCCCCATCAGACCATCTCGGAGTGGTCGGGGAGGTCCCTTGGAAAGCCTGGGGCCACTGAGATGGGGCTGTTGAAACCATGCAAGGGCTGGCAGGGTCAGTCGAAGCCGTCTCGGGCGCGGTCTTGGGGATCCCTTAGGCCGTACTGTGCCTTGCTGGGAAGCGTTAAGATGTTGCACGACATACGGTACCAGACAGATGACGCGGAACACTCTGCTAATGGAGGCGACGTCCAGCACGACTTCGCGCCATGCGTGCATGACGATTTAGCCCAGCTGTTTTCTGGAAAGCGCCCAGGAAGGCTCCAGGAAGGCGCGCAAGGCAGCCACATAGGCTCTTCCAAAAGGCAGGGGACGGGTGTGATTCGCCGTAGGTGTCTTCGATCCGCCGCCCCCTGGTGGCTTGCCACAAGCTGGTCCTTTACAGGGCCCTCGGCACAACCCGCCAGCGGCCACCCGAAAGGACGCGGAAGAACACGCAAGGAAAAGACAACTCGCCTCTACGAAGACCCGTCAACTTCTCAAGGCGTCGGTCTTCCCGCCCCAGACGGCCCTATGAGGGCCTCCACGACGGCAAGTATGGCCTCCAGCCCCAAGAGAGCCCAGATTGCCCCAAGATGTCTCCAATGCGGGCCGAGATGCCCTGAAGATGGCCGTTTGTGGCCTCAAGATCGCCCACGACGGCCCAAGTGGCCTCAAAGGCGGCCCCAAAGGTCTCCATGAGGACCACTAAGAAGGCCCGAAGAGGCCAACACCATTGATTTTCCATTGGTTATTCGACGATCGTAGCGTTTGCTCATTTTCGGCTTTCCGACGGTCCAAGACGGCCCCAGAAGCCACCGAGATGACCCCAAGAGAATCCAAGAGGCCTCCGAGATGGCCCCCTGACGGCACAAGATGCTCCCAAGACGGCTCGAAGACGGCCCATGAGGCCTCCAAAACGCCCAAGATGGCCTCCAAGATGGCCCTGATGCGCCCAAAGAAGACCGAGACGTAGCTAAGAGAGTGCCCCAGGACGGTTTCCGACGGCGTCAGACGAGCCAGGAACGCCCTCAGGCAGGCTACGCAAGAAGCCTCCCAGAGGCCCCTCAAAGAGTGCCCCAAGAGACTCCCCAAGAGGCCTCCTTCTTCTCCTCCTCCTTCTTTTTCCTCCCTCTCATCCTCTTCTTCTTTTTATCCCACGTGTTCCCCGAACTGTCTCCACGACGGCTGGGGGAACACGCAGTCCGATAGCTTGGCCCAGCTGTGGCCCCAGCATTCGGCCACACGGGCGCTTCCAAAAGGCAAGGGGCGGCGGTGTCGCCGCAGGTGTCTTCGATCCGCCGCCTCCGGCTGGCCTGCCACACGGGTGCACGGCGTGCTCTGTGTTCGGCAACTCTTGGTCTACTAGTGGGCTTTCGGCCGATCCCGCCGGCCATCCAGAAAGACCCGCAAACTTCCCCGCAAGGACCCGTAAGCTTCCCAGTTCATCGGTCTTCCCGCTCGAAACGTCCCCGAAGTGGCGTCCAAGACGGCCAAAATGGTCTCCAAGACGACTGCGAAGGCCCCAACAGAGCCCAAGATGGCCCAACAATGTCTCCAAGACGGCCCAAGGTGCATCCAGGACGGCAAAAGATTGCCCGCGACGGCCCAAGAGTCTTCCAGGAGGCCTCGGAGAGAACCTCCAGGAAAGCCCGACGAGAGCTCTCTTTTTTTTTCTCCTGCACAAGCTCCTTGAAGCATTTCCACCACGAATGGCGGACACATAACCCGATAGCTTGGCCGAACTCTGGCCAAACGTTTGGCCACAGAGGCGCTTCCCAAAAAGGCATGGGGGCGAGAATTGTTCGCCGTATCGCGGGTGCAGTGTCGACCCCAGCGTCGGTTTCTGACACCGCGGGCGATCTTTCACTCTTGAGCGATCGGCCGTTTCTAAAGCGTCAAATCGTTAAAAATCGACCCGTTCTGGGTCGCCGGCGGCATTCAACGTTGAACACTGAGAGCGGGGTCGCCGCTGGTCGGCACGACACGAACCTACCGTAGTCGTATCCGGTACCATGTGGCGGCCGCCACACTGCTCGGCTACACGCGAGAGTGCCCCCGGGCAAGAGTGACCTTGGGTGCGCGATTTTCGGGGGCCGCGGGGAGGAGGCCAAACCCGAGCGCGCGAGCCGCCGCTGTCGCATCGCGTTCGCCAAGAATGGGGACCCTGGTGTGCCCGCACCAAAGGTCACTCCGGCGGAAGGTCACTCTCACGTGCAGCCGAACTGCCCCCCCCCCCCCCCTCCAGTCCGGCGGCACGTTGCTGCGCGCTGTCCACGCGAAGGAGTCGAAAGTTGCCTTCGATGTTGCGCGAGACGCGTCGGGCGAGCCGTCACACCTCGGAGGGGTGCCAGCGCGCGCGCGCGCCCTCTGTGCTGCTCCAGTGCCGCCTCTCCGCTGAAAGAAAGCACATCGGGGGCATGATGTGCGGCCAGGTGATGGGCTTGTTTTCCACCACCACCACCAAAAGTTGGAGTGTGAGGGGGTCCTCCTCCTCCTCCTCCTCCTCCTCCTCCTCCTCCACCTCCTCCTCGCCCTCCTCCTCCTCCTCCTCCTCCTCTTCCTCCCCCTCCTCCTCCTCTTCCTCCTCCTCCATCTCCCCTCCAACTTCTGGTGGTGGTGGTGGAAAACAGGCCCGTCATCAGGAGCTTGTGGATGCGGCCCCGGCGACACGCTGTGCCCTACGAGCGGATGGCGTGTCGCTCCGCTCCGCGGCGCGGGAGGCTGGGGAAAGCTCGGGACGCTGACGCCCAGGGACCACGAAGTGGTTAGCGTGTCGTGCCGCAGCGCTGTGGGCCAGGGCCCGAGGAGCGACACTCTAAGCCAAAACTCAGGGGGCAAACGAACCTACCTCGCTTTTGACCACCCTCGCTTCCAAGAGATACCAATCGATGTCAAACTGCGGCCCGCGCTGGTCAGGCCGCTTGACGAGGAGGCGCGTGGTATAACTTGATTTTGCCTGGAATCGAAAACGGGGTAGGTAATTCACGCTCTGAAAACTTCTTACCTGATGCAACCTTGTAGTTGATGAGACAGGTGGTAGTTAGCCTGGTCGGTTCCATCGTGCCTGCACCAACTGGTCGGACGATGGGCAGGCATACGAGGTAGGAGGGCGCTGAAAGTGGAGGGCTTCCGCCCGCCCCCTAAAGAGGAAGGGAAAAACAACGCTCGATGATGTAAGCAGGAAGGCGCCCGAAGTAGGTTGACCTCCAGGCATCCCGAACTACTGAGTGCGTAGTTTCAACGACCGAGTTGTGAGCAGGCGCATCGCCTTACCACCGCCCGTCGCGCCTGCAAGGCTCCGACTGGCATCGGCAGGCCTTCTTCAGGGGCTCCGACCCTCGTCACACGCGAGAAGACCACTCGAAAGCGAAGAGACAATGGAGAGAGGATGGCGCGAATGCCGACGACGGCGAGGGCAGCACATAGCCAGTTCGAAACGCGGCTGCCCCTTGGTTCTGCACCCCGGGAGCTGCCCCCGGGGACCAATCTTTCATCCCGAACTGTTCCTTAACGGCCACCACCATCTCGCCTCGAGGTCGTCGTCATCAGCCTGTTCCTCCACCTCATCCTCCTCCTCCTCCTCCTCCTCCTCCTCCACCTCTCCTCCTCCTCCTCCTCCTCCTCCTCCTCCCTCTTGGTCTGCCGGGGCAGAGCCGCCCCTGGCGGACTTTCGAGGACATCCGAGTTCGTTCCCCCCACCTCTCCTCTTCCTCCTCCTCTCCTCCCTCCTCCTCCTCCTCCTCCTCCTCCTCTTCCTCCTCCTCCTCCTCCTCCTCCTCCTCCTCCTCCTCCTCAATCTCAATCCCTCCTCCCGGGTCTCTTCCTCCCTCCCCCGTTTCGTCCTCCCTCCTCGTTCCTGGTTCCTCCATCCTGCCCCTCCTCCCCCTCCGCCTGCCCACTCGTGATCCGAACCCCGCGACCCTCCGTCGTCGTCGTCGCGTCGTCGCGTCGTCGTCGTCGTCGTCGTCGACGTCGTCGTCGTCGTCGTCGTCGTCGCCGCCGCCGCCGTCGTCGTCGTCGTCGTCGACGTCGTCGTCGTCCTCCTGTTCTTCCTCCTGTTCTTCCTCCTCTTCCTTTTCCTCCTCCTCCTCCTCCTCCTGTTCCTCCGTTTCCTCCTCCTCCTCCTCCTCCTCCTCTTCCTCCTCGTCGTCCTCCTCGTCCCCGTCCTCCTCCTCCTCCTCCTCCTCGTTCTCCTCCTACCCTTCTTCCTCAACTTCCTCCGCATCCTCTTTCTCATCATCCCCGTCCGCCTCCTCCTCCGCCTCGTCCACCTCCTTTTCCTCTCCTCCTTTTCCTCCTCCTCCTCATCCTTTTCCTCCTCCTCCTCTCGGTCGTGCTTCTCTTACAGTTCCTCATCCTCCACCTCCAGTTCCTCCTCCGGCTCCTCCTGTTCCTGGCCTCCCTCCTCCCCGTTCCCTCCTTGTCCCCTCTCTCGTTTTCCTCCTCCTCCTCCGTCTCCTCCTCCGCCATTTACTACTCCTGTTCCTCCTCTTATGCTTTCTGCGATTGAAGTCGATGCGTCCCGTGAACACAACACGCCCGTACTCTAGGGATTTCCAACAACAACTCAGCAACACGCCCCCCGTGTGAAGGGCGAGTGGGACGACCGTTTCGACAGGACTGGCGGACGGGTCCTTGCTGTCTTCAAGGGTCGCAGGGCCCTCGCTTTCCACTCCGACTCGGCTCTGCCCCTGCACTCCATTGCCAGGTGTTCGGCGTTGCTCTGAGAGTGAACTCGGTATCTGCTGCACCGAATCACAGACCCGTTGGCCCACACGCGGTGGGTTGGATGGACCTTCGCGAAAACCGCGGGGGCCGAAGGCACTGCAGCTTCACTAGCCGAAAACGCGCGGACCGCGCTTGCCTGAAGACCCTACTTCCCACCCGGTTGGAATTTGCGAAACACCGTGGCCCTTATCATCCAGAATGACCTCGGGCAGGGGGAAGAGCCTTCTGCTATGGTCTCCGAGGGCCTGAACAACTAAGTGCCCGATACGATGCGCATACATCAACACACGAAACACGTAGGTGGCGATGGGAGACCGGATCGCAATGAAACTTGATCCTGCCACGCAGGTGGTATGTCACCATGTTCGCCTTGGCGCCCTTCCTGGCCCTCTCCTCAGCAAGCCTGTCAACGTAAGAACCCGGATGTCTGGCGACTTGATTGATCGCTGGCCGCTTCGTCTGGTGCGCAGCGACTTTCTGCGCAGACGCAAGCCCCTTGCCGACGTCATCGCCCCCCCATATCCTGCCTCCATAGTTCGGCGCGCGGCCTGTTCGCATGGGTGGTGATGCCTCCCCGCCCCCCACCCATCCACAACAATTTGACGGTCTGCGGCAACCGCGATGGCTGGCCCCACGCGGCTGGGACTTATGAGACAAGCGCGGAACTTCGAATTACGATCGCCCTGGTCTGCCAAGGGCGACGATCCGTGGGCGATGGCCCCTGCCTCCAGCGACGGGGCGAAGAAGACTCGGGCCGCCCCCGTTCGCAGCAATCATTAAGGCTAGGCTTGCTGCGCCCGCAAACCACGGGCACCGTCGCACTTCCAAACAATGCGAGCAAGGTGCGTTCCCACTGGCCCCGCACGCCTTGCACAAGGGCTCCAATGAGCGCCCGTGCCTCGACAGGTCTGACTGGGTCCGATGGCCCCCCGAGATTTGGAGGGTGACTGTGGGGGTCGGGCACAGGGCCCCGTCGACGGTGGCCTCGTGGGCCACGCGTGGGCGATAATTGCTGTGCTCGGCGGGGGAACCCATTGAAGCCCCCCGCCTGCGCTCCTGCGCGAGACTCGAGGGCGAACGGAGCGAGGGGGCGGGGGGCTGGGGAGAAGCGACGAAGGCAACGTGCGCTGAGGGCGCAAGAGGAGAAGGTTGGAATATCTGAAGGCGGCGGCGTGAAAGTCAAAATCTGCCCGGCCAGTCGGACGCGCGGAAAACTGCGCCCCAGTTCTGGGGATCCTGAAGGCCATGGCAAAATGTAAATTCAGATCGTGGAGGAAGCAAAATGTGAATTTGTAATTTGGGGCAAAGGAAAAGATGAATTCACATTTTGGAAAACAGGGAGAAATGTGAATTCACATGTTGGAATGTATTATGGAGTTCTTTATGACGGGGCCAACATGCGAATTCACGCGCTGGGAGAAGAAACGTGTGAACTCGCATTTGGGAGAAAAGAGCAATGTGCATCCACATTTTGGGAGAGTGGCGGTGCCCGTTCCAAATCGGCCTTCGGGGTCGACAAGACATCGTTTGGGAACGCGCGGGATCAGCAAGCGCGCAATCAAGACGCACCTGCACTCCACTTCGCCGCTGCACGCGCGATATCCAACAATGCCCTCGCGCATGAACGGCAATGGGTGGGCGGCGCGTGTGCGCGCGCGGGCAGCGCGGGGGCGCGAACGACTGGCCCTCATTTGACCGACAACGTTGGATGTCAGTTGTACCCGGTCATATACATTAGCGATATATTGGCCATGCGAAAGCCCCCGTCGCAGACCCCGTTGCTGACCCCCTGTCGCGGAACCCTCTTTTCGCCCTGCGAGAGATCTCGCCCTTCAGGCGCCCCAGAAGGGTTCCGAGGGGGCGCGGCGGAACTCGCGAGCTTTCCTCGCGCTGGGCTGCTGCGTCGATTCGTCAGCCAGGGTCTTAGCGCAGTGGGCCCCCAGGGGGCGGGGGCCCGGTGCGAGCTAACTTCCCCGCGCCGCGAAGCTTCTGTCCATATCAGACGCGTCAAGGCATGGGAAGCAGCCCCTGCTGGGCAGGCAACTCCTCGCCAACCTCGACGCTCAAAAAGCCAAGCCATAGAAAAAACTCTGCCATATCTGGCTCGGAGTGGCCCGCTGCCCGGAACTACATGGCGTGGGCCCACGTCGCCGGCGGCCGCGAGCTTGCCGGGCGCGTCGGGTCGACGCGAGGCACTTCCGCAAGCAGAAATTGCGCTGCCCGCGCCTGCTTTCGAACCGCCATCTCGCAACTCCGCCCCTGTCCCCCGCGCGCGCAATCCGTCATTCTCAGCTCCCCGACCCCCCGCCTCGCCCTGGCGAGGTCGCCCTGGCGCTCGGACTGACGCGGGCCAGATGTCTATCGGACGGCGCCCTGCTTCCGGCTTCTGCGCGGGGCAAAATGAAACGCCGGGGCTGCTCCAGGGCGCGCGCGGGCGACCCCCGCGCGCGTGGCGACCTTCCAGCAACTCGCAGCATCTCATCGGTCAAGGGCTTCCACAGATGGGGCGGCCCCCGGCAAACTCCGACGGCCGCGGGCCCCTGGGCGGCGACGCGGGCCGCTGCTGATCGGGTCCATGCAGTGCTCTCCGAACCGCGATGCCTCCTCCCAGTCGCGCTCGCGAATCTCGATCTGGTCCGCGCCGCATCCCGGGTGCCTTTCGGGGCCTGGGCTAGCGGGGATCCGCCCGCTTTGGGCCGCAGCCCCCCCGCGCGAAATGCCTTCAAATTGCTCGGGCCGCCTTGGCCCGGCGCCTCCTTCTTTTCTGATGGTGCCTGGCCTGTGGCGCTTCCTCCTCTTGAACCAGACCTCCTATAGCCGCCCGATGCGCCGCCCGTTGCGCGAGCGGCGTAGCCCTTGACGCAGGCGCGCCCGGTTCTCCCAGCACCCCAGTTGAAGGAGGGGCTCCACTGCAAAATATCCGGCGGCCTCTGGAGCTTCTCGTCCTTGTCGCAGACCGCCCTGTCCTCGACAGACTACCCCGCGGCTCGACGGCGCCGAAGCTCATCGAGGAGACCGGGGAATTCGAGCATTGCGCGGGCAATGGGGGGGCCGCGCAAGCGATGGCCGGCCCGGGCACGCACTGGCACGACTCTCCGACGTCAAGATGCTCCAAATTGCTCCACGCAGGATTGGCGCAAATCCGCTGTGCGCGCGCCAGCGAGCTCGAGCTCTGCCGCGCCGCAAACGGCCTCGTCGGCGCTTGTCGCCTGAGCTGACGGAATTTCCTCAACAATGGCCAGATGCTCGAGGTGCCCTTCCCGCTCTTGGAGGGCGCAGCACGAGGCCGATCGGGGGGCCGGCGGGCCTCTGCGGACTCTTGAGACAATTCAGAACATCAAAGTCAAAAGGGCGGCCCTTGCCGACGCGCGAACGGGGTGAGGGGATGGTTATCTCTGCGCATTCCTGCCGATCGCGCCGCCGGACGCCTGGAACTAAGCTCGCTGCCGCGATGCATCAAAGCGACGGTTCTCCACTCGCTGTCCTCGCCATTCGTGCAAGTGGCCTCCCCAGCCCCAAAGGGTCACTCCACTGAAGCTGAAACAATGCGTTCCCGCCCTCAGCTCTTGCTCCATTGCCGCTGGGAAGGAAGACGCCGGGAACGATTGGCCCCCAGAAACGAGAAGCCCCACGCGCCGAGACGGCCCGCGGCATAGGGTCGGGTTTCACAGAAGTGGTTTCCAACGCCTGTCCCTTTGCGGACAGCCAAACCTACCCCCCTTGACAAGCCGCCGGACTGGGCTACTTCGCAAGTTTCGAAAAGAACGCCTACGCCACGCAGAGAGGTGGACGACTGCGCTAGGTCCGCCGCACGGACATTGCGCTCCTGCCGAAGAGCATGTGCGGGGCATCTTAATTCCCAAAATGACTGAAATCTCGGACTGCTGCTAGCGTTGGCCGCGATGCCACCCCTAGAATGAAGGTTTGAAGGTTTGGAGTGGCACTTGGCGCTGCCCGCCGGGCCCCTGCAGCGCGAGCGTTCAGACCCCCTCCTCCCTGCCCCCATCTGCTCGATTCTCTCCACGGCGGATGCGAAGATGCCCTGGTGGTTGGCGTCGCCCCTGAACTCGTCGCCGTCGCGAAAGCCCCCCCCCCCCCCCCTCGATCTTGTCAAGGGCATCCAGCACCCTCCATGGTGGCGTCGCTGTCGCCATCGACGACGGGGGGCTCGCCGCTCAGGCCTGCAGCGCCGCAGTCGCCAGCAGCCGCGCGAACGCCTCCCCTCTGGGCCCCACTCGCGCTTGCGCCTGCCGTCTGCTGGCGGGCGGCGTTTCCTCCAGCGCTGGCTGCGCGAGGTGGCGCAGCAAACCGCGCCGCGGCCTCCAGCATTTCACGAGCTTGGCCGTGACCTCGCCCATCCACGCCTGCGAAACGCGCCGCGAGCTCCTGCTTCCCTTTTCTTTGCTTGAGGTGCAGCATGTGTTGCAAATTCTTGCTGGTGTAGGCGTCAACTAGCGCCGCTTCAGCCTGCGGGCCAGACAGCCCGTAGGTTAAGAGCGCGCCCTGGTGGGCGAGCGAATCGCGCTGATGCGGGGGGATGGACTGGGATATTAGCGACAAGTCCCCCTCAGACATCTGAGGTCGCCTTTCGGCGTCCTCCAGCGTGACTGTACTCCTCGAATTGGAACAGCCATGTCACCGTTGCGCTTGCCCGTGTCCTTCTTGCCGTCGCCCTCCGCCAAGTCGTGGCCTGGCGGACGCCAGCCCGAGGCCGCCACCACGGGCCCCAACAAATCTGGAACGAGGGAGATGGGCCATGAAATTCGGCACCGCTGCGCCACTGTCTGCGCTCGGCTCGGTGTCCGCAGGAATAAACTCACACGCGCTGCAGTACCACCCTGGCGACATGGCGGCGGTTGGTAACTGTGTCGAAACCTCACGAACGAACCACGGCCGCGCTGATGGCCCGCCGTGGGTTCGAAAAATGAAGTGGCGCCTGGGCGCCCCCATTGATGCTTGCCGCACACTGCGGACACCTAATATTGAAGCCGCCACGGCTCGGGGTTTCAGCCACGGATCTCCTCCTCCTCCTCCTCCTCCTCCTCTCCTCCTCCTCCTCCTCCTCCTCCTCCCCCTCCCCCTCCCCCTCCTCCTCCTTCTCCTCATCCTCCTCCTCCCCCTACTTCTCCTCCTCCTCCTTCTCATCCTGCTTTTCTTCCTCACCCTTTTGTTCCTCCTCCTGTTCCTCCTCTTCCTCCATTCCTCCCCCTCCTCCTCCTCCCCCTTCTCCTCCTCCTCCTCCTCCTCGTATCCCCCCCTCCTCCTCCACCTCGTCGTCGTCGTCGTCCTCCTCCTCCTCCCAGTTGTCATCCTCCTGCTTCTGCATCTGATGTGTTTTTCCCTTGCCTTCCCCACGACTTTCTTTACTTACGGAAATCGTCGGCGCGAGCCCCACGCGCCGCACGCGGACTCGCGGGCCCGTCCGCCTCCCCCTTCTCTCCCTCGTGTACACGCAAGGAACGACCCTGTACAATAATGAATGACGTGTGTTGCGCGGTTTCCGCAATCAACGCTGAATCAGAAGGGAAGGGGCATTTCTGGCGTTCCCCGACCTGGACCGACGGAGGAGAGGAGAGCCGGAGGAGGGAAGCGCCGGAGGAGGGAAGATAGTCGACTCGCTGTGGCAAGCCGCCGGCACCGGCCGCAAGAAGAGCCGCCTCCAGGGCTGGTCTGCCCAGGAGGCTGATGCCACGTTCTGGTGCAAAAGGGAAGCAGAGGAGAGAGAGGAGGAGGAGGAGAAAGAGGAGGGGGGCGAGAGAGCGGCGCCCTTCCCGAGCCCACCGAGGCGCGTCTCGACTGCAAGGGGCCGCCAGGTACCAAGCCCAGGCCCGCAGGCCAGTGCGGCTCAAGAGGACGCTCGTGGCTCCGCAACCGAGGCCGCTCTGGCGAAGGGCCACTCCGACTCACCCCGTCCTCCTCCTCCACCACCTCCTCTTCCTCCTCCTCTTCCTGCTCCTCCAACTCCTCCTCCTCCTCCTCCCTTGTCCTTCTTCTCCACCTGCTGTTCCTCCTCCTTTTCCTCCTCCTCCTTGTCCTTTTCGTCCTTTTCCTCCTCCTCCTCCTCCTCCTCCTCCTCCTCCTCCGCCTCCCGTCTGCTCCCTCCACCCCCGCCCCCCCCCGTCTGCCTTATCCTCCCTCCTCACTCAAGGTCGAGAGAATTTGCTTTGCATCCAGCAAGGGGTATACCCAGAGCGATAGGGAATCCCAGCACGCGTGCAGGAGGTGTTGGACGCACGAGGCGTTGGACAGTCCTCCCTCCTCCCTCCTCCCTCCTCCTCCTGCTGCTCCTCCTTCTCCTCCTCCTCCTCCTCCTCCTCCTCCTGATTTCCTCCCCCCGCCCCCCCTAATCCTCACCTGGCGCATGCCTCCCCCCGAGGGGTCCCGCGATTTTCGACTGAGTTCGTGCGCACCCGCGCGCGAGGCTGCAAGTTGCGCGCTGCGCTCAAACTGATCGCACGGTATCGGTGATCGCTCGAAGTAGGTCTCTCTTGCACGGTAGCACGCGCCAGCAGAGCACAGCAAAGCCCGACACAGGCCACACGCAATTCCGAGTCTGCTCCGTCTTCTTCTCATCTTCGTACCAGTCTTCTCCGTTTAAAATCTTTCTTGCTGGAGGTACTATATGTTCATTATGTGTATTCTTCTTAGTGCTATTATTCTTATTATTATTATTATTATTATTCGTCTTCTTCTTCTTCCTCTTCTTCGTGCAGTGTTTCTGCTTCCTCCTTCCCCTGCTCGATGATCCTCAGGACGTGTGTGAGCGCCAACGTATGTTTGTCCATCGAGGCCTTTCGATACGACGCAGGCGATGTAATGCTCTGCCGGTGGGGCCAAACAGGATACACACACGTTGGGCCAACACACGTCCTGAGGACCATCGACCTGCTCCCCCCCGTGGCCCTCGCCCCTCGCCTCGCCGTCTCGGTGATGAGCTTGCTGGTGAACTCGTCCTGGCTGACGAAGCCACTGGCGCCGAGCGGGCCGCTCTCCCCTCTGGACCAGGCCGCCACCCCCGGCACGCGCCACCGCCAGGCACCGCGCGGCTCCCCTTCGGGTGTTGCCGAAGGTGGTCCGAGGCATGCCCAGCTCCTCGCGCCATGTTGGAGGCCCTGGAGCCTTCCGGGCCCTGCGAGGGGTGTAGGCTGAGGTCGGACATGTCCCCCTACAGGCGGACTTTGGACGCAACAGAACAAATTGTCAACAAATGCTGAAAACGGTCGAAAAATCCTCCACGTACTATTTTTTGACTATTTGGGAACATTCTTCCTGTAGAGAGGGACACGCCCGACTTAAGTGTAGGCCATCTGGGACCCCGGGACTCCTGGGGACACCCCTGTGTCGGGGACACCTTCTTGGACACCCCCGAGAGGTGCCACCCTGCCGCGGCCAGGATCGAGGACTGGGCGGAAGCCAGTCGTGCACCTGCACTGGTCCTGGCCAAACCCGCCGTGGACCCTGGGCCGGTTCACGCGCCCGCCCGGCCTGGAAAGGAAGGCGCATGCACGGATCCTTGTCCAAAGATGGGCCTGACTGGGTTCGGTGTTGGCGTTAAGTCGGGTGTATTCCCCTACAGGGGGGGTTGGGCGAAAAATCTGAAAAAATGCCCCCCAAATGCTCAAAAATAGTTAAAAGATCGTCCCCATATCATTTTTAGAACTATTTTTGAATATCCTCCCTGTAGAGGGACATGCCCGACTCAATGTTGGCGTATGGTTGGCGTCCTCCAGCATGGACGAAGGGGAGAGCGATTCAGTGCCAACCCCGACATGGTCGAGGAGGCAGCGACCCGCTTTGCCCCGGAGGGCCAGGAGACATTAAGAACGTCCAGCGCATCTCGATCCTCGAGGCTCCCATGCTCCTCCTCGTCCCCCGCGTCGTCACCCTCGTCCTCCTCCTGCTGGGCATTTTTATAGGGTGCAAGGCTCAGGGTGAAATCCATATGGGTGAAATCCATATGGGCTGTTGCACCTCGAAAAGCAATCCGTCTTGTGACCCACCTTTCGTAGATCCAAGCCACGAGAATCATTCGAAACGACATTTCGGATTTCACCCTTTGCCCTCCACCCAAAGCAAATGCTCGGTCCTGTGGGAACCAACAGGCACCGATGCCGCTACTCCCCGACCTTTCCCGGGGTGCGTTCTGACCAGAGTTTCGAGGCAAGGCCAGCAATGGCGACCTGGGCCGCCCAGGAGGCACCCAAAGGCGAGAACGGGGCGAGGGTAGCGGTACGGGTACCTTTGCCTCTGCTGATGAACACCCCAGACCAACGATCGCCGCCCGTCGGACTCCGCCCCCCCCTCCCATGAGCGAGGACAAGAAACGGGTCTTGCGGGACAGTACGTCGCGACCTTGCGCCGCGGCTAGTGCGGGCCGCTGGCGTGGCACCCCGCGCGGAGAGGAGAGCGCTTGCGCGCGGCATTGCGCGGGAGGTTACGCGCGAATGTCCGCGCAGGGCCAGGGCAGGTGGGGGGCGCGGAGGATCGCACCGCACCGCCCGATGCATCTGCGGCGGCGAGGTGGAGGAGAAGAGGGCTCAAGATCGAGCCGCACTGCCGATGCACCTCGGCGATGCGGCGCCATCCTCTGGCTCCATCTTCCGAAACAAATCCTAGAGAGACCTCGCGCAACAACTTGAGGCCCACTGTACGTCGGATCCACGCCGGATGTGCGCCTCGTCCACGTGGGATTACGTCGGGTCCACGTCGGATTCACGCCGGCCGGACGCCCGAGCAACGCCGCGCGAGCGCCGTTCCAAAGCCTGCGGTGCAGACGCGCGGACTGGACACTACAGCAGCTGCGCGCCGCACGGGGCCTCCAGAGTTGTGTCATTACACGCCGCGGGAAGGAGCGGGGAGAGCTCGTGTGGGCAAACACATGGAGCAGGAATGCGGATCGAGTAGATTGGATCCAGGCCCTCCCAGAGAGAGAACGAGACACATCAAAAGCACCTCGCTTCTTGAAGTAGGGAGCCCCTTCAGAAGTAGGTTGCTGAAATCTGGGGAGCCAAAACAATACCTACATCCAGTGACTGGCGTGCAATGACCCATCTGCTCCAGCTCCATGGGCGGCCTGGGCCCAAGCCGACTCCCCAGACCTCTCCCAGGCTGCGTTCTGACCAGAATTGCGAGGCTCATCCCGCCGAAGCGACGATGGCCTCCGAGGAGGCCCCCACAGGGCAAGGGTAGCGGTATCGGTACCTTTTCCTCCTCTGTGGGATGGAGAGAATCGGGTACTGGATCGAGCCGCACTGCTACCGATTCACCTCGGTGATAGGGCGCCATCCTCCGGCTTTGTCTGCGCGCCAGCTCCGTTGGCGGCCTGTACCCAAGCACCAAGGGCGACAATAGGGAGGGACTGGCATAAAGGGGGGGGGAAACGTCGACCTTGAATCGGCGATACATCGCTGATAGATCGGCGATAAGCCCCCCGATAGCGAACCCGCACCTTCCCGGGCAGGTTGGGGCTATCGGGCCCTTTTCGGAGATGAGTGAGCGATTGGGGGGCGATGCATCCCCCCCCTGAGCCTATCCCATATCCCCTCCAAGATCCTCGTCGCCGCCTGGTGCTCGGGTCGTACCTTGGGTCTCCAGCGGCCGTTCGGATGATCCAGGCAGCCCCAGATGCCCCTCGGCGAGGCGCAGCTGCTGGAGAGCACGATGAGGCTGGAAAACCGCCGAGAACCAACGAAGACACTCGAACATCTTGAGCCTCGCACCCCAAACGTCCACACCCCTCCTGAGCCCATCCCCCCTAACGTTGCCCCTGACTTGCGGTGACCCCCATATCGCTGCCAGCGAGGTTGGGTACACGTAAGAGTGACCCTGGGCAAGAGTGACCCTTGGTGCGTGGATCAACCAGCGGCGCGGGGTGGCAAATCCAAGCGCGCAAGCCGCTGCCACCACTTCGCGTTCAGCGATCGGGGGACCCCGATGAACCCCCGCCAAACGTCACCCCGGCGATGGGTCATTCCTACGTCTAGTCGATGAGGGCCCAAGCCGAAGCCAAAACCCGCGGGGGGGCTGGCGCGGGGCGCCTGTTGTCCTCGTCCATGTCCGCCCAGAGTATCTTCCGGTCCAACTCGGGGACCTTCAGCCGGCGCAGCGCCTCGTCGAAGTTCCTCCCGGGAATCAATTTATCTAGAATTTTTTGTTAATCGAAATACGTAGAACATTGAATATATGTACGGAACATGTTCCGTATTCTTCGCAGTCTTGACGGAAACCGATTTGGGGATAATTCGGTTTTGCATTGGATCTCCTACTCGAAAGACGAAGAAAAATGGTACAGTCTGACCTAGGCCAGAAGAGCACTCCTCAAACACATGAGACTCTCCGCCGGCCAAACCACACATAACATCAAAGGGCACCCTCAGGATATGCACAACAACCTCCTTTAAACACGAAGTACATTAAGGTATACCCTCCCCGAACCGACCTCGACCTCATTCCTTGGTCCGACTGTGGTCGAGAGAAAATGGCGTACGCATCAACTCCCTGCAATCTGCGCGGATTTCTCGGATCGGCGCTGGGCCTCTCTGGCGGCGCCTCCACCGCCGCGCGTGGCGCGATTTGCGCGCCATGGAAGGGGCCAGCGCGCGGATCCACGAAATCTACGCAGACCGTCGAGCGTGTATGCTTCTCCCATTCTTCCTCCACGAGGTGGGGAGGAGGCAGACGGGGGGGCACGAACAAGAGACGAGAAACCCACTCTGCAGCGTGATCACGGTGGCGTCACGGACGGCGACGCCGCCAACGACGGCGAACGACCACGGCCTTGTGACAGCGAGCGCATGAAAACCGCCCCCCGCCCCCCACAGGAAAAACTTTAGATTCGTGGGGCCGTCGAACGACGCGTGAGCTGCAAGCGGAAACAGCTCGACGGTCAGCCAACGACAACGCCGCGCAAATCAATGCGAGCGGCGCGTTGCTGCTATGCTCGCTGGCGCTTGGTGAACTTGGCGTTGCCCTGTGCTGGCGCGCTGTCAGTGCAAAAGTCTGTGTGGATGTTCGCGCGCTGGTGCCAGGGCAGAAACCAGGGGTCGCGTCGGCTCTTGGCGGCGCTGGCAAGAGCCAGGGGCCCGCCCCGCACGGGCGCGCATAGTTTTGGTCCGCCCCAAAAAACAAGTGTAGGCACCAGGCGAAAATATCGTTTTAAATCGATTCAAACGTCTCCGAAGCGAAAGTCTCGCGCGGGGGAGCCCCGAACAGGTTATACAACAGACATGTGTTCATAGAACCGCCCAAAACGTTTTTGATTGGAACACTTGCCTCAAGAGAAGCGCTCGCGATCTAACTTGTTCCGTCGGTTGGTTACGAGGGGGCGACGGAGGCGGGGGCGGGGGCCCGCGGCTGGGCCCGTGGCGCTGCCGCGCGAGGGACACCGCCGCCGTCGCCTCAAACTGCACGCCGCGGCCCTGGAATGCCAGCGCGGGCGCGGCCACCTCGAGTGGGCCCAGCACGTCGCAACGCGCGCGCGCGCCCCCCCTGCAGCAGCTGGCAGTGGCCTCGTCGACAGGGCGCCTACACTTACGCACATTCGCCATACATGCAAAACGCTGGCATGTAAAATCCATAGTTGTGGGGGCTGGGGTCGGTTTCCCACTGTTCAGGCATCTGCCCCTCGGCCTGTCTGGTCGAACCATGGATCGCGCGAGCAGGGCTGGGAAGAGATTCAACATTCAGGCATCGGGTTCAGCGATGGGAGAGACACAGCGATCGCGCCCCATCGCCGTCGGCGTGGAGAAAGTTGGGCTCCGCATCGAGCCGCGTCGCCAATGCATCGGCGATGTGGCCCGATCCATTGACCTCACCTGCTCGGTCCCCATGTCTGCGAGGCCCGCACACAAGAAAGTCGTATGCGGGACGGCGCAGCGTCCCTACGCCGGGGCTCACGCGCAGGACGCGGGCGAGGCACGCCGCGTGGAGACGGGACGCCTAATTGCGCGCGACCTTTCGCGGGCAGCCTGGCGCTCTCTGAACATAAGAGAGGCCAACAACGGCATGAGGTCCGCTCAGATGTCCTGGATCGGCGCTGGAACCCTCTTCCTGTTGCGCGGGGCGCGCCAGGAGCGGCATCAGAGGCGCCGCCAAGGAGCGTCCAGCGCCGACCGGGGAAACCCGCGCGGACCTTCAAACGTTTATGCTTATGAGCGCCCCCTGGAGAAAACATAATCTGCCGACGTCAACTAACCGCCTCGCCAGTCCTGGCCAGGCAAATCCTGGGTTTAGGGGCGCATGTATATCATATCATATCATATCATATCATTTCATACCATATCATCTCATATCAAATCATATCATATCATATCATATCATATCATATCATACCATATCAAATCATATCATATCATATCATATCATATCATATCATGCCATGTCATGTCATGTCATATCATATCATGTCATATCATATCACACCTTATCATATCATATCATATCATATCACATATATATATATGTATACATATATATATGTATATATATATATATATATACACGCTTACTAGAACCACGCGGGCGGTCACAGGCCATCGGGCCAGCGGGTGCTGGCCGCTGTGGGGCCCTTCTTGGACTGTATTGCAGCCTCTTAGGGGCCATCTTGGACCCTCTTGGGCTTTCCTATGCCGCCTTCGAAACTTCTGGGGACATCTCTGGGCGCTCTGGGGCCGTCTTGGGGAAGTCTTGGCTCGTCTTGAGCTCCACGGGCGGCTATCTTGCGGCTGTCCTGGGCCGGCTTCGGAACCTCTTTTTGGCCCTCTTCGGGCGCTACCTGTAACATCTTGGGGGCTGGGTGCCCATGGGGAGCCTGTGATTTGGTCTATGGGGGAAGTCTTCCGGGATCGTCGCGTCCTGGGGTTGGGTCTTGGGAGTCTTAGGGGGCCGTCCGAAGGGTGCCTCTGGGGGGTTTCGCGCATACCGAAGAGGGCCAGCACCAACGCTACGAGCCTCGTGATCCCAAAGCTAGCCAACGAAGAAAGGGCGCGAACGTGGGGAAGACGGCAGATGGAGATAAGGGATGAGGAAGGGATGGAGGGATGCAAGGAGGTGGGGAGGGGATGTGGGAGGAGATGAGATGGTAACTTCTGGCCGGGGCAGTAGGATGCTGGCGACATCGCCGAGATTGCAGCGAGTCGAGTGCCATGGTCTTGCTGAGGCGGCATGCCTCCCATGGGGGCGCTATGTTGAAGACCACACAGGGCGGCCTTGACCGTACTCGAAGCGGTCACAAAACGAACAAGTTTGGCGCCGTATGCGAACATCGAGTGTTGAAAAGAAACCGCATTGATGCTCGCTGGCGACCTTGCTCGTGCTCGGAGCGGCCAAACAAAGAATGGTTTGGCACCGTGTGCGGGCATGTAGTGCTGGACATCAACCGCAGTGATGCTCGCTGGCGGCTTTGCCCATGCTCGAAGCGGCCAGACCAACAAAAAGCAGGAAGGCGGTGAAACACGCCCTCGACGAGCGTCACTGCCAAAGTAGGGGCCTTCCAGCAGGCCTGGTCAAAAGTGCACGAAAATTCGAACAGGCAGGAGAGAGGAGGGAGGAAGGATGGGGGAGTGATGGAGCATCGCCCTCGACGAGCGTCTCGACGGAAGTCTGGCCCCTCCACTAGCCCTGGACAAAGTGCGCAGACATTCAAACAGAGAGGAGGGGAGGAGGGGGAGGGGACACGGCGGACGACAGGGGGGAGGAAAAGAGGAACGTGATATCATCAGCGGCGCGCTCACGGCCCCAACTGGCATCTACCAAACGGCCAAGGGTGCAAGACTCAATGGCTCCACGGAGGACGGGGGATGGGAGGAAGGAAGGACAACGACGGCGGACGACGGAGGGGGGGGAGGAAAAAGGGAACGTCCTGTCAACAGAGACGCGCCCACGGCTCCAGCTGGCATGGTGCTGCAAGACTGCAACACATCCGCCGTCGTTGCTGCCAGTACTACTACTACTACTACTACTACTACTACTACTACTACTACTACTACTACTACTACTACTACTACGACTACTACTACTACTACTACTACTACTACTACTACTACTACTACTACTACTACTACTACTACGTACTACTACACTACTACTACTACTGCTACTAGTACTACTACTACTAGTACTACTACTCCTACTACTATACTACTACTACTACTACTGCTACTACTACTACTACTACTACTACTACTACTACTATTACTACTACTACTACTACTACTACTACTACTACTACTACTACTACGACTACGACTACGACTACGACTACGGCTACGACTACGACTACGACTACAACTACGACAACGACAACGACTACGACTACGACTACTACTACCACTACTACTACTACTACTACTACTACTACTACTACGAC